TGGATGAAGCTACCGTCAGGAAAGGTTTGTTTTTGTTTGAGAACTGAGACAAACTGTACATAAATTAATAAACTGAAATGACTGTAAATAGCCTATGAAAACACACTACAATAAAATTGTTTAGAATTCTTTTTCATTAAACCACTTCACATTTGAGAGGATGACTGGAAAAGAAGATCCTGTATTTTTTTAAGAAATCCACAGGCATTACAGCAAATTAGTGAGTTTTCCAGTTCAAATATTTTGAGTATTTTTTTAATGTTTGCACAGGCTCAAGATTTCTGAGCCCATGTAATAATTTACAAAAAGTCCCACTATTTCTTGCTTTGCTGAGACTCACCGCATGGCATACAGTTAACACTTTGCTTTAGCATGAGCTGCGATGTGTTTAATAGATTGCAGAGTAGGCAGTGCCACTATTTGTATGTGGTTCCTTATAGCAACTGGGATGAGAGCAGACAAAATTTATGTCTTGCTTTCCCAAAGCTAGTTGTATGGCTCTGTGGCTATCTGAAAGGAAAGACCACTTCCAGTTTAGCCACACAAACATAATCTCTGTGTATTCTTAAATTTATGGGTGGCTACATTAAAGTGCAGTCAGCCTGGATTACCAAAATGTTGGGTAAGAAGAGAGAAAAAAGATTTGCTTCTCATTATTTTTTCCTCTCAAAGTATGTCTGCCTTACTCAGAATTTCCTATACCTGATTCTTTGGTGTCTGTGACCACCAACAGAGCTTCCCCAGCCCTTGCAGTCTGGTTTAAACGTGTGCACTGTATATTCTCCTTGTCCAGAGGGCTCTGGTAAAGGCATTTATCTGCTGAATGACATGCAGACTGCCAGATTCAACAGATGACAGCTTAAGCACAACACCAGTGACCACCAATGGTGTGGTTTTTATTTTGGTATCCTGATCTTCCTTTTATAAAATTATTTTAGTTACTGACTTTTTTCTTCCTTGTCAAGCTGTTTCTTGTGAATTTGTGAATCCTTCTCCTCTTTCCCTTATTAAGAACTGATCTTGATTTCATGTGCACTAACTTTATGCTGCTCCTCCTCTTGCCTTCAGCATTTGCTTGTGGTTTGTGCTCACATGAAATCAAAAGCAATTTGAGAACAGATGGGAATAAACAGGCATGCACACCAACATGTGTCTTCTCTCACCCTCCCTCTTTCTCACCTGTTGGCAATTTGCTAACCTCTGTTAAATTTAAGAAATATGGCAGCTAAGAAAACACACTGATCATGACTCCCTTTGTTTTTATTGTTCTTTTTACAAACACAGACTGGTACATTTGTGGAAAGGGAAAAGAGACAGGACATGAAAGTAGCAGGCTAAATGGACTATCCCAAGTCATCCAGGCCAGTCCTTTGGCATCAGCAGCAACCATGTCACAGAGGTCCTTTTCACGAACGTATAAGGAACATCACTGTTTGACAATGTTGTTGTCCGAAAAACTCTGTCCCATTCTGGTAAAGCTGGACATGGTACAAATTAATTTCTTTAGAGATGGCATACTGCTCTTGTAGGATAGTTTAAGAGCCCCAGGAAATTAAAAAATTGGATGGAAACAGATTTGTAAAATGTGAATACATCCTTCCACCATTCTGCATATCACCACTACAGTTCTTAACAGGGATTTCCTCAGCAAACAACATATGCAGAGATAATAACCTCCCTGCTGATACTGGCAGATACCCTCCTTTCTTATGGACTCAGTTTCATCCATGCACACAACAGGGGGTGAAATGATTATTTTAGCATACTTATTTTCTTTCCTTTCACATCATTCACTGAGTATGCACAAATTGGAAGAATGCCAAATTGTTTACAGAAGATCAGAGATGATTCGAGCCAAAACTATCAGATCAAGTGCCCTAAACTTTAGGGGTTTTCTGATGTGGCTATGACTCCAAAAGCCATGACTCAGCCCTATCTCTGCACCAGAATGAGCGCCAAAATGAATGTTAAGGATAAGCCCTGTAGTAAGTTGTACTGTGAGCTCCCACTGAGTGCTAGACATGAGAAATCTCCCTGACTCTGTCAGTGTAAAACTTCCAAGTTGCAGGTAATGTACATCATAAATTTGAGCTGAGAAATTTTCTACAAGTGTTCTTCCTTCAAAAATCTCACTAAGATCCTATCTCCTTCCCCCTCCAGACCACCCACAATTACAACCACAAGCCACCCACATGCCAGTCACCCCATCATCATTAGAGGTCATCTGTCATTCTCAGTATCATTCTAAAAGCATAGTTGCCAAGACAACAAACCACTTTAAACAGATGCTTAATGTCACAGATAGAATTCATATAGTTAGAATTACACTTTTAATGTGTTTACTCCCTACTGAATGCCTGCATAATTTGTGAATCTTTGCTATATATGTAGTACCAAAGGGGTGGCTTTTTAGAGACATGGAGATCAGACATTTGGAGGAAGGAATGAATTCTGAGTTGAAGAGATCAAAGGGAGGTACTTCACTGGCTCTGGCTGAGCAATATAGTACCAGGGGGTGTTTATGGAAAACCCTCAAGCTAGTGTCATCACCCAAAACGAAGAGAATACTGTAATGACATTTCTAGTACTTTCTACTTCCTTTACTTCCTTATATTTTTTTTCCTTTTCCTTTGTCGTCCTCCCCTCTCCCCCCCCTCCCAAGATCACATTATACACATATTGAAACTGCTAAGCAGATAAGTGGCAAGGAAGAATTTTCAAGTGCATCAAAATACTGCTGATATTTTTCTTAAAGTCCTCCAAAGATTAATGCTTTCCTGCTCAGAGAACTGAAATCTTCACCTATGCTTTTATCAACTCTGGCTTTGATGATTTTTTACTTTCTTTTCCTATACTTATCTGAGGCTCGTTCACATGCAGCTGTTATAGGTGATCATCTATTCTGACCACTGAAGATACACATCTTCCTTGTACAGTGACAACGTTATTTGAAATGTTCTTTTTCTTCACTCAGCTCCATTCTCAATAATCAGCTCCTATGCCTCTAGGTATCTCCTTTGAGGGGAGACAAATGTGTGATCAGGAATTCATTTTTACAATTAATTTATTTTTTAATTTGAAATACTTTGTGATGTTGGTCATGATATACATGTGTCTTCAATTGACTCCACTATATTATTGCTGTTTATTGCTTCTGTCATCTTTGATTTCCTCTTCTGTTGCAGCTCTCACTTGTTAAAGATTTTCTTAATTTCAGACCTGTATACTATGACTTACACATCTGCTTACCTTTAGTCATCTGTATATTCCCACTGATTCCAGTGAGAATACACACATACTTTAAATTAAGCACATGTGCAAGATTTTTGAAGTTAAATCATCAGAAATAAAGTCTACTTATTATTTTTTACCAGCTTCAACAGCTAGCAGCTTCTGCAGGTGGCTAAACCTGCAGAGATTTAAAAGCCATTGTTACTGAAGAAAAGACTGTAGGTCTAAAATCAGTAAGACTTGAGAAGAGGTCTTGACAATATGAAAGATGTGATTTCTTATGGCAATAATAGTGGTGTGAGAAAACTGGTGTTTCTTAGCAAGAGTTGTTCCAAGACAGTAGATCTGGCAACAACTCAACATTTTACTCTCTTTCCTGGAGGCAGTATTCAGATCAGATATGGTTTCCTCCTTTACATGGATCATTGTTATGAAAATGATGAGGCAAGAGGGTAAGGGATTGTAATTTTTTATGGGAAACACCTTCAGTGTAACTGGTGCTTGTCTTATTTGTAGTCATAGGGGACTTCTGATTTTTAAATTGCTGAAAAACAAGCACTTGAAGGACAACAGAAGTTTCTGAGTAAAGATTAGGTGAAAAATCAGGTTGAAAAGCCATTTGTACTGGGAAGATTGACTACATAATTGCAATTTATTTTTCTTATTTCTGTGTACTAGTTTCATCTTTGAAATGTTACAGTGAGTACAGGCAACAAGTCAAATTTCAATCTGCATTAAGTAGTATTGTAACTGCTCTTCAATTAAAAAGAATAGAGGTTATAAGTATCAATCATGTGCCCTGTGATATGTCAAATTATTTGAATGAATTTTAACCATTACAATTATAATCATTAAAATGATTTCAAAATTAATTGATATTGCTAATACATATTACTATTTGCAGAGCGATCTGTAAGAGAAAATGAAAACTGTAGGAAGATAATCTAGTGACTTCTTCATTTTGATACAACTCTTCATCATTTCTCAAGTGAAACTTGTAAAACTTGTTTCAAGATGAATGAAAATTAACTAAAATATTTAATTCTACCACAGCATAGGTCTCAGAATATTGACAGTCCCAAGGGACAGAAATGGTGAGCTGCTGCCATCTGCAGCTGCACAGCCAATATCCGTGTTATTTATTCAGCCTGGAAAACCTCCCTGAAAGAACAGGATCAGAGGGCAGCTCATATAAGGGCTGATCCCAAGAGATGGGAGGTTGAGCCCTGCACCCAACTCATCACTAAGTTTTCTACTGGAGCTTCTCTCGTCCCTATAGGGCAAGGAAAAAGCACTAGCTGTTACGGGGTCTGTTGGGAATAGAAAACCAAAAGCCAGAGGAAAAAAAGAGAGAAAAGCAGAGGGAGCAAAAAAAAAACCAAACCAAAAAACTGTTGTTTCCCAGTAACGTCTCCTGAAAAAAAGACCTCAGGTCTGAATCTTTTGGCTGCACAGATGCAACCACAGCCTTGAAAATCTTTAAGTTAAATAATCTGATCAATTTCTCTGCTAACTTAGAATTATGGTGAGGTGTTTTTTTTTTGGTTCCTATATTCTGTAGTTAATAATTCCCTTATTTTTTTTGTTAAAAAAAATAAAAAGCCTTCTGTATGGTAACTATTGAGTCAGGGCCTGAACCACTGATCGAGCACCTGGGAAAGGACCGTCAGCCCTGGGAACACAGGTGAAGGCAATTCAGCTGTGTGACTGGAAGGGGTGGAGGCTGGCTGCACCTCTCTTAGACGTCATTTAAGGGTTGACTGCCACTGGGGATGGATCTCTAGTTGGAGATTCTTCTCTTGTGGAGTTTTCATGCAATCTTTGGAAATAGGTGAGCACTTTTCCTTTGCGACACCATTCCATTCATGCTAGTCCCTTTGCTACAATACTTCTGTAACACCCTTCCACTACATTGGCTGTTCTGATTGTTGCACCTTCTTTTCTACTTTGCTTTTTAAACTGCCAGTATACAATAACCACCATTCTGAAAGGTGGTCAAGAGGAGAATGCATTTCAGATCCAGGGTCACAAGAAATTTTCTTACAGTCAAAATTCTTCCTTTTCATCTCTGATGTCTTGTAGGCAGGGTGTTAATGAGTAGTATGATCTATTTCCTTTCCAGAACATCTTTGTTATATATAACATATTTTTTTCATTTCTTTTAATGTGAACGTGATGGATGCAAACCATCCTTGCTCTCTGTGATATGTTCTAAACTTAGACAAAAAGGTAGAAGTATGTGAAACAAGCTGACCTATGAAATAATAAGAGAAAATAAGCTCATGTGCTTAGCGATCTCTTTTATTACTTTTTCTCTTTTTTTAATGTGATATCTTTTGTCTCTTTACAGTTATGGGGGAAAAAGAGCTACCCCACGTCACAGTGGATTAGGGAATAACAAAGTGAAATACGTTTATCTCAAATGGTAAGTAGGGGAAGTGGTATTACTAGCTGTTTTCCTGGAGTGGGAAGGGTTTTGGAGGTTTTCTTCTTCACTGCAGCACTTGTCTATGTCATGTGTGAGGGAAGAGCAATGACTGTATCCAAAGGTATTAGGTAGTACCTGAAAATATTCAGCTTCTTTGAAAAGTTTCTGAAGCCTACTTCTTCATAAAATTCATCTTTATCAAGGCCCAAGAATCTTCTTTTGTAGTGTCTCCAGGAACTGTCCATAAGCCAAGACATTTAGAGCAACCAGGAGTATCAAAATGCATGTAGAAGTGCACATGGGAAACATTCACAGGAATTTTAAGGGTTGGCCATTTTCACACAATATTATATTATTATTTACTACGTGATCTAATTGAAATGTGAATTTGTAATAGCAGCTGCAGCTTCAAATGGGGAGTACATTGCTTTCCAAAATTACTCCTCCTTAAAAAGGTGTAAAGAATAGTGCACTGTATAATCTGAACTCTTACAAACTGTTGTTAGCAAAAGTATGATTCTAATAAACAGCATATTTTCCCAAAATTTTTGAGTAAGTTTAGTAAAAAAAAAAAAGATGTGTATGTATATATATATTTATGTATATATATGAAATGAGCTAGTTCATCTCAATCAATTTTTGAGGAAAAAGATTAAGATGGTGGATGTTCAATTGGCAATAGTAAGACTAAGTCCATATGGAACACTTTCATGATTTGGTTGAGGGTTTCTGTGCCACTGCATTCCTGTTTCACTGTAAGCAAAACAAAACAGTGACAAGTCATACATTCATTCAAGTGTTTTACTCTTTCCCTTTAATCGGTTACTTTGCCAGAAAAATTGTGGAACATCCAGCAGATGACATAACTGTGAATAAATAAATATTTATTCAAATCCCCTGCTTGCAGTCACTTCCCACTAACAAAATACCAGAGCCAGCTGGATTTCTGGAAAGCAGAATGCATCCAGAAGTTCTGCTAGGTTATGCAGAATTATGCCTGTTTATTTAAGCCTTCAGAAGTCTCATATGGATGTGCATGTACATAACTAAGCATGTCTACCTGTGTTTGTCTATCTAAAGGTATAGGTTCATAATCTGTGTCACAAACCTCATGGACTTTACTAACAAAATTTATCCTGAGCATAAGAATATGTAAGATGGTCTTATTTGGGTATTAATTTTATATAACTGGTGTACATTCATTTCTCTGTAAGAGCTTGAAGAGGTTCTAATACATGTATGTTTGACATGAGAAAAGAGCTAGGTAGAAAGGAACAAACTTCTCAACCTCTTTGCTAATTATTTATTGTGATACAAGACACGATGAAAATACTGCCAATCACAACTCTTGCATTTTTTATATAAGTCCTATAGCAAACAAACACTTCATCAAACAAGATAATCCATCTCTCTCCAAATACTTCTGAGATATTTAGGAGTTTATTTCTCATCAGAGACAAATGGGAGAAGTTTCTACACCTAGCAATAAAAAAAAAAAGCCCCCAAGCCTTTTTTTTTTTTTTAATTGCTACACTGTGGAATGCTATCTTTCACAATGCAGGCCAACATAAAGGATTGGGGAACCTTGAGGCCAGGTGATTGGCAGACTTCTATGCCTGTTTAGTATCTCAGCCAGGAGTCTAGCTTGGGAGAAATGCATCTTCATGAACTTAAAAAGCCAGTGGAGAGACCTGTTTTTGGATCTGTTTTTTTTTTTGTTGTTGTTGCAATCAAGGTTGCACAAGAAGCCTTCACTTGGCTTTACAAAGGAAGACTCATGGACAAGGAATGCAGGGAAGTAACTCCTATTCTCATGGCACAGCTAACCTATGGTGCACGCATCAACCTTGCTGAGTGTCTAAAGAGATATTGTCTTGTTCAGCATTTCCAGTTTCAGACATCATTGTAAACAGAAACCTAGGGATCTGAGCACAGTATTCTTGCAGAAATCCTAATCTTTTCCCTTGGTTTCTATTCCTTTATTTTAGGACATTACAAGATAACAGTATAGCATGCTTCAACTTGAAATATTAGCTTCCCACTTCTAATTCATGAATATTTACTGAAAATTTATCAGGGTAAATGTACATCTAATGAATTGGCTTAACTCCATTATCTGTATTTTAGATTCTTGTGAGTTAATGGAAAACACAGTGGACTTGAATTGTTTTGCTTTTTAATCTAAAGATGTTATTTGTTTTGGCTTAAAGGGAATTGTGAAAAATGCTGACACACTTGAAAAGAACAAACCTTAAGTGCTTTCTGAGGATAACAAATGAACCTTAACAGTGAGATCCTGCTGTATCTGGGGCTCTAAAATCACAATTAGAAGTGTTTTACTGTAAGTAGAAGGGTGTAAAATTAATTACACATCCAAAACTGTAATCCAAGATGATATACAGTTAAAAATGGCTAATACATTAGGAAAAAATTATTCTCAAAATCTAAAGGAATCAACTTATACTCCTATCCAAGATTGAGTGACATCACACACCATGAAATAATAACATCTAACAAAACTTGTTCACTTCAACAGAAATTTTAAAGTATATTCAGAAAGACTTTTCCTCATCACTGCTGCCTGACTTCAGTCTTGACATCCTATATCTGAGTTGCTCACTCCTTTTTTTTTTTTTTTTACTTCTTGTTCTATCACATTATAGACCAACAGTTTTGCTTTTCCTTCTCAGTCTGTGCCTGCAATGTGCATCAGCCATACCAACAATCTGAACTATTTTATGAAAAGCATCACCTATATTCACTGAGAAATAGCAGAAACTGAAGTAAGTTTCCAATAAAATAATGAAATTAAATTATAGGTAGCTAGGAGCAGCACACATTGGATTTCAGAGCTTCGTATCTCCATACTGGCTATGGCCAGTATAACTTCATAGTTTTCAATGTATATGAAACTCAGGAGTATTCCGAAACATAAATTGCAATTCCAGGAGGTAAAATGAAATATCTATTAATTGTATGTATCAAAGTTTGTATTTTATAAAGGAGTATCTGTTACAGAAATATAATCCTGTTACCTGACATATGGTTGTCTTATTGGGAACCAGTGCTATGCAACTATTGAAAGAAATGTTCTGTTCTCAACCATATACAAATGCATTTTTGTAATTGGCCTTGGTCTTCACAAAAGTCTAGCTTAAATTCTGTTTTTCATTAATGCTGAATGTCAGGAAAAGAAGCCAGGATCCAACCCCATAATGCCATTGTTGTGTGATTTGAAAAGATTTGCTGGTCTGTACTGTAAGCTCCCTGGGACAAAGTCTGTCTTTCCAGTGGTTGCAGACTGTGTGCAAAACAATAGAAACAATGCTGGAATATAATAAATGTTTAACGGTATTAACAGTGCCAGTAGATTCAGTTATGGTCCATGTAATTGCAAAGTGTGTCCAGATGCTGCAATGATGCATACCTTGCAAATGCATATAATGATAAACAGATAGTAAAGGTTGAATTAAAAAAGTCGATAGTTTTGGCCTTGTTGCTGGTTGACAGTTATGGAGTGTATGTGAAATAAACCACCACCATGATTAGCACTGATTGGCAGTCTACCATCTCAAAGGGGATCCAAGATGTTGACTCTCTCACATTTAGGAATGACCCTTGGGCAAATTTCAAAGTGCGGACATATTGGTGTGGTGAAGCGTTAATGAATAATACACACAGGATTTTGCATATGCCAATTAATTAATAATTTCAACTTTGCTAACAGTGCAGTCTTTTTTTTTCCCGAAAACGTAAAGGACAAGTGCTTTTCAATTAATTTTTCTTGTGAAATAAATACATAAGGATGGCAAATCCAATCAAAATCTAGCCACAGCTTCATTGGGAATCTAAAAGAGCATATAGTCTTTACTCTGAATTTTTCATTAACTCATTTGTTCATAAAGTGATGTCTCGAGTCCCAGGCACTGCACAGATTGTCTTCCAATCTGTGTCCAAAGGAGCATCTACCCTGTAAAAAGATAGTTACTTCTGTTTTACTATATAAAATCACTTATCTAAAAGAATGGGAATACAGTGTAGTTATAGACTGTAGACAAGAGATATCTTGTCTATGTCAAAAGATTTCTTGTTTCTTAAATCTTCATACCTTTTTGTAAGAATGTTTATAATTTCTCTTTTTACCCATTCTGAAACTACAGATGGGAGGGTTTCCACAAGGGGCTCAAGTATTTCCGTAATGTTAAATGTGAAAGATAATGCTTCATGAAATTGTAGGGAACTTTAAAACAGAGTTAGCGATGTTTTTCTAGAGATCCTCAAGATTTTGAGATGGAAGGTACAGTGACAATTCAAGATACCAGTGACAGGCACTTAGTAGTATACCCCCACTTAATGGATTTTTTTGAATTACAGAATAAACAGACCTGTTTGGATTAAAAGTAAGGGCACTCCTGATACAGGAATGTGTCTTTCTTTTAGAACTGGATGATGACATGGAGGAGTCTGTTACAATAAATGGAGCTAGAAGATAGCTGAATGATACCTGAGAGAAAAGGAAGTTGTTTGAGCTAAATGAGTAACTAAGGCACTTCACTCAATATTCTTACTTCCTAGCGGAGTACTTAAGAAATCCCCAAAGCTCCACTGCTCACATACAGCCATGCCATCTCTAAGTCAGTAGTTGCCCATAGCAACATGCTCAGGAGTACTTATGTCAAATGCTCTTTCTTGTTTGATGTACACCGAGGCCCTTTTGAGGACCTGAACTATGGAATTACATTTTGAATGTGTGTGACACAACAGAATGCATTATGATTGTGTAGTTCAAAACTTGGCACCAGTGCCTGCTCTTTTTCCAAAGTCAAGTGTAAAGTCTTAAGGCCCTATTAATGAAAAATCCATTCCATGGCTGGGTTGCAGAAAAAGGCGGGCCTCAAATTATGAGCAGTATCTGTTATAAAAGCCATGTGTTCATATAAAAATATGATGGAATATGGGCACAGAAAATTACATGGGGATTTCACTAGTTGCAAAGGGATTCCTGGTATGCACATAAATTTATACATTGTACTTAGAGACACAATGCAAAGGGTCAGGAGGCTGTAAATATGTTTCCTTGCTGCATAAAGTAGGGAGATAAACAATGACATGTCAAAATCCCTGAAATTCAAGGCTGAGACTGAACTACAGCTTGAAGTAGGCATATGGGACAGACAAATGCAACTGCCCATGCACGGACAGTAAAACTAATTATGAAAGATGAAGTGCATGATACTTACCAAGACTTGCTTTTTATGCAAGTATGTTGCTTTTTAAAGAGTAAATCCAATCACCCCTTTTTAATATATCAGTCACTCCTTGAACAAACTGGGGGTCTGTTAATAGTTTATATATCTTATATATACGTACATTTGATGTAGTGTATGGATGATTACACTGATTACATTTAGAAAGACAGTTATGCAATCCTAAAATATAAATGTGTAATAGAACTAAGGAAATAATATTCTCCATTTTCCTATTTATCTTGACATAATGACTGAGTATGAAATGTAAGATTCTCACTTTAATGCTTAATTACTTATTTATCATAGTTCTGGAAAATTTTCCATCAGAAAATATTACTGCATTAATATGTCTAGCCTGTAGTACTATTTATTACTATATTAATATGTCTAGTCTTAGCCAAATTATGCAAAGCAGATAATTCTCTTTTTTGTAATATGTATTTTTTATATACTGCTCTGCAATTTCTTTTGGAGACAGCCTGGGCAACTACAAAGTATTTTTTCTTCTTTTTTTTTTTCTCTTTTCTGTCTTCTTTGTTGTCTTCATCTTTCTCTTCTTGGTCATGAAGCACTGGCAGAGATTGTCCAGAGAGGATACGGATGCCTCATCCCTGGGGACACTCAAGGTCAGGTTGGACAGGACTCTGGGCAACCTGATGTAGTTATAGGTGTCCCTCTTCATTCCAGGAGAACTGGAGTAGATGGTCTTTAAGGGTCCCTTCCAATTCTAAGGATTCTATGATAATTTATGTGATGAAGAGAGATAGGACTGAGGAAGAGATTGCACGTGTTTTCCACTAAATGGAGTTGCAGCATGGTTGGAAACCATGGGCTTCTCTTTCATGTGCGTTAATGGAATGTATGTACATCTGTGTTTATTTTTGCCTCAGACACAAGGCATTAACATCTGAACCATCTATGAAATTGATTTTGCTCATTTTTAGTTTTCAGGACAATAGGCCTGCACGTTCTGTGCTAGAATCCATAGATATTTTAGGTATGGCTCTTAGTACAACATATTCTGTTCTGAAAACAGAGTATTGTATTATTGTTGTCAGAAGGCCCTAAGTAAGAAACAAAACAAATAAATCAATTATGATATTAAAAAAAATAGAAAAACAAAGCAAACAAAATGACTCTTCTCCTTCCATCTTGCAAAACAAAATCCTTCAATCATGATTTATTAATGAAAACAGCTACAGACAGTTAATAATGTAACATCTGGATTTAATGAACAAAAGCACAGCCAAAATATTTTTTTTTCTAAGGGTTTAAATGGAGTAATTCATCTGTACTTTTAACAAAAGCTTTTAGTTCCACATGAAGAGGTGGGCAACCATTCGATCAGACATAACTGAAATTGTTTTAGTCACTTAAACTGCTCAATGTTTTCCTATGTTACCTTAAGGAAAAAAAGTACAATACAGCCTGTTCTGTCATTTTGACATTAGGAAATGCATCTCTCTACCTACAAGATGTTTCATATAGTAAATTTATATATAAATATCTATGATCTATTATATACCAGTAAAGTAATATACTTACATTAACATGAAAGTAGCATTAAAGTGAATTAAAATAATAAATAATAGAAAGTCTATGCTGAATGAAAAGGCTAGGGTATTCTTCACAGCTCATTTTAAAAGCAGAAGCTCCTGTCTAATGTAACAGAGTTGCTGTTTAAATTTCTGAGTGGGCATTCCCCGTTTTCTACTGGAAGCTAGGATTTTTAGCAATGCCTCCCATCATTAACTGTCCAGATTTTGTTGCATGTGCATTAGTAGAAACAGGAGGACCTGTACTTAGGAAAAAAGCTCAATAGGATTTTCTTTCTGGCATGTATATAATATTTCAGTATCTCTAAGTGTTTCAAGGAGGCTCACAAAAGTCAATATTACAACTGATATTTAAAGTGAAACACGTGTGATAGTTTGTAGAACCAGAATCTGTGATTTTAATTCTCTTAAGCAGTGGCTTAACTCTTAGTATCATACAGCTAGCAGGATGCTTTCATTTTGCTGTTATCTCACTTGGAAGCATGCTATTATTCTTCTAAAGGAGCTTGTGAATTGATCTAGCATCACTACTAAGCAACACATAACAGATTATCAGGCCCTATTGTGGGCTTTTCCAAATTAATTAATTTAGGATTTGCAGTTAAATTTAGGTGACGCAACTAAACACACAAATAATCCACGAAGCATTAAACAGCAAAACTTTGGTGGAGGGGTTTCTTTTAAAAACAACAGCAAAATGTTTGAAGTGTATGTCAAACATTTATAGAGTTGTTATAGAGTTGTTTCTTCAGCTAATGGCTGAAGAAAAGCTGGACAACTGCAAATAAAGCAATGCTACCTGAAAAACAATTTAAACAATGAAAACATGGCTGATGTCTTCTTCACCTAAAGGTAGTCTTCATTGACTTCTCTACAGCCTCATACTTCTTTCTGCTACTGAGACCTCTTACAACTGGAGGCCAATGATTTCTGAAGGAGGTAGACCTGCTCAGTAATTGTTTTTAGTTGCTCTGCAACTTAAACTGACACATTTTGTTTTCATGCAAGAAATTTGTGTGTTCATAATTGGCACAGATCTTCCTACACATTATTCATTTTCTTTAAAAAGCAAATCAGTAGGTTAAAAAGAAATCTAATGAAAAGAAAAAGTACTTTCATCTTTAGTTTAGCTTCTAAGTGTTGTAAAGCAATTAAATACAGCAACAATGGTAAATTTAAAAAGTGTAATATTTATATCCAACAATAAAAAATTAGATGGGTTGAATACTGACTTGATAGAATCACAAAATCATAGAATTATAGAAATATTGAGTTGGAAGGGACCTTTAGAGGTCACTTAGTTCACCTCCCCTGCAATGAACAGGGACATCGACAGCTAAATCAGATTGCTCAGAACCTGGTTCAGTCTTTATCTTTTTTATGTTTTCTAAATGTTTTCCAGAATGGCACACAAGACAAAAATTATTCAGTTGATTAATAAGTGGAATTTAGCATGCATTTAGCTAGCCTTTTTCATGAGTTTTATTAATTAGAAAGGTTCATATTTAGGTATATTATATTTAGCTTTTTCCATAACCTATTGTGTTACAACAGCAATTTTTTTTTCTTTTTTTTTTCCCAGAAGTGACAACTAAGTTTGCTAGTTGAAGTTTTTCTACTATATTGGAGGTGTCTGCAACCTAGTGTTCAGTACAACTAAATAGTAGACTGTAAACATGTGTAGGATCTAAGACGAGCTACTACTATTCAAATTAATGTGTTCAAGTGTTCTTTGTTCCCAAAACAGCATTTTACAGAATTTCCTTAACTTATATTTTACTTCCTTTATCATATATTTTTGTAAATGATATCAAAATATGTGAAAGATGAGATTTTTTCTATTGAAAATACACTAAATCACTGAAATGATGCAATGGGCAGGATAGGTTAGCTGCTACCACTGCTTAGGGACCTGATCATCATAGGTAGTCCCATGAAAGTTCATTTATAATGAATTTCCAAAGGCATTTGACTTAATATTACAATGCCTTATAATCACGGCTGTTTCTGTAGCAAGAAACAGTGGTGTCATTTTCAGCCCTGACTGCTTCGAAGGATTAAATTAAGAGTGGCAGGTATTTTAGTGAGAGCTTAGCTAGTTACATATCTGGAGATGTAATGAAGCCCTGAAATATTTCTTCCTCATGGGAGGTGAGAGTGCTGGCTATTACAATAGCTTAGTTCTTTCTTGCTTGACAGTTGAAAGGCTTTTTTTTAAATAACAGCAGAAAGTCCAGAGCTTTTCTAGACACTCCTTTCCTTTCAGAATGCCGGATGCCCTGGCTTTGAAACCTTCTCCTGTTTCTTCAACACCTGATGGTGATTGTTTAACTGGAGATTTACAGCAGACTTGAATCCCAAAGCTTTTAAACAGCCGAATTATAGGAGCCTGAAATGGTGCTGGCTTCACCAGAGTGATACTGGTATCACCATCTGACGTCTTTCTACATTCCAGCAGTTAAATGTTGCTACCACTGAAAACACCAAAACAACTTAAAGAAAAAGCAATTTATAGGGCTTATCCTCCAGACATGTTTGTGTATGTCTGAACTCCAACCACATCAGTAACGTTATTAGCTTTAATGGAATCTTTCCTGTGATAGTTTATCTCATGTGTAAGAATTTGCATGATGAAGGCCTCAGCTAGTTATCTCCAAGGGGAAGCAGCCAAGGAAGCAATGAACAGGGAGGAAAGGAGATTTCCCCTCCTGCTCTTACAGATGGCCCCTTCCAGTTAGGGTTGAGAAGATCTTATGGAGCCAGAGAGTATGTAGGGGTACGTCTGCAAAACATCTGTTGCCTATGCAGTGTTTTCTTTCACAGAATAGGAGAATCATAGAGCAGCTAAGATGGGAAGGGACTTCTGGAGACTGCCTAGTCCAAACTCCCTGCTTGAGCAGGGTCAGCTAGAGGACGTCACTCAAAGCAGTGTCCAATCAGGTATTTTTGAACTCCAAGGGGGAACATCCAACAATTCCTCTGGGCAATCGGTGCCATTCTTTGATCATCTTCAGATTGAATTTTATTTTTCTAATGTTTAGATAGAACTTCTTGTGTTCACTGTGTGTCCACTGCCTCTTGCCCTATCCCTGTGCACCACTGAGATGAATCTTGGTCCACGAAGATGCTAAATTGCACATAAAATTATAGGCTACCAAATCACCTTATCTATATTCTTGTCTCCCCTCCACCATCTTTTCATAAGAAGCTAAGAGACAAGAAAAAAGTGATCACGTGTTCTTCACATGAAGATCTTTTTATCTAACAAATAGAGGGTTCAGTTGCTACTTGCTTCATTAAAGCCACAATACAGCAATATTTGAACTGACATTGCAAAACTGGAAAGCAGAAGTTCCTGCAGTCAGAAATATAGAGAGAGATAAGGTTGGAGGTGCTCTATGTCTGTAAGAAGGAAAAATTACTGTGTACAAATTGAGCAAAATCCATGAATCTGTTAAGTAAGAGATAAAAGGATTGCATCAGTGATACGGTTTCCTGATATAATAATAATGAAAAAGGAAAAACTATTCCAGAGAATAATCCAGTTCAACACTGGAATAATATTTTCAATTTATAAAATATTCTTAGTAGTGATTTTTTCTGTCATTAGTTTTCTTGCTACTGTTATTATCATTGTCCCTAACTCAGATGCAAATGTACTGATAGCATTCCCATGGATGTAAGAACAGGCTTTGCGTGGCAAAGAAAAGAATTAAAAGGACGAAGAAAAAAGAAGATTTTCCCATTCAGTTGGAGGGAAAAAAAAATAGATTTTCCTTTCAGTTGGAAGGGGAAATCTCCTCTTCTTCCCTTTTCTTCTCCTTAAAAATGAAAGGAATGGAGGTATAACTGCCAAAAAAGACCCCCCAAAAACCCAAAGCCAAACAACAACAAAAAAATACAAAAAAAATCTTGGCAATTATGAATGTAATTTATAGTGTGAAGCATCAGAAGGCAATAAGCCAGGAAAAAAAGAGATAAGAGTGTCTTTGAAAATATTAAATTATAGCATGCCTTGAATTATCTCCTTGAAATTCTTAAAATGTTCTTAGTTATTGTTTGAATTACTGCAACAGAAAAAAATGCATATAATAGTAAAATACTATCAATATTTTACTCCACTGTATTCTGTTCATTGTAGTAAATTATGTGTGCATTGTCACATACAGGTATGTATGTCATTATACATTCGCTAGATCTTTGTATTTTCATATTATTATTTCATATTTAAAATTTTAACACTATACTATTTGCAACCCAATTTGCAGAAATCCTACTATGTTCAACAAGAATGAACCTAGGAAAAAAAAAATCACAAATGGAATTGCATGAAACTAGCTGGGCAACCTACTTTCTGGAAATAATATTCTGCAAAAGGGAATTCAAGGATTAATTGCAGAGTTTTCTTCAAAACTTTAGAAGATATTGTGGTGTAAACCTTGAAAATAAACTGAACTGAAGATTTAATTGGTAGCTTTCTTGTGTTCAACATTAGTGTCATAGGATGGCCTGGGTTGAAAAGGACCATAATGATCATCTAGTTTTAAACCCTCTGCTGTGTGCAGTGTTGCCAACCACCAGACCAGGCTGCCCAGTGCCACATCCAGCCTGGCCTTGAATGCCTCCAGGGATGGGGCATCCACAACCTCCTTGGGCAACCTGTTCCAGTGCATCACCACCCTCTACGTGAAAAACTTCCTCCTAATATCTAACCTAAATCTCCCCAGTCTTAGTTTAAAACCATTCCCCCTGTGTTTCTATCCACTTACATACTATAAAAATGTCATGTCACCGTCCCACTCCCTTTTTTGTGTGCTTGGGAGCAAAGTGACAGTTAAAATAAGAAGTTATTCTTCAAGTCTGGCTGATCTGTGCTCACAGAAAGGCTGAGGGATATGGCTTTATTTCTGAGCAGGGTAACACTGTTTACATCCATGAGAACAAGCAACAGAGGCCAATGCAGCAGATCAGCTACAACTTCTGTATACATATGAAGATACATCCCTTTCTGCTCCTTAGAGGTCTCAATAGTGTATCATCTGTACATACCTGTCTGTATTGTGCAGCAGTGCCATCATTCGTACTGGCTGGAACAGGTAGCTGGAAGGAGGGATCTCTTTTTATCCTATGGTATTAAATAAAAATAAAAATACTATGTTTTTTTTTAAGGTTGTGAAATATTAATGTTTTGAATATATAAAATCTACAGAACTGTCAAAGATTGACAGATGTAAATTAAAATACACTATAAGAAAGTTTAAATATTTGAGCTAAAACTTGAATAATTCCATAAATCACTACGTACAAGAAATCTTCCGTTACTTCTGTTTAATGAGAAGTAGGAAAGAAAAAAAAAAAAAAAAAAAAAGGCAATAATAACTTGAATATGAAAAAGTGAACTAAACATTCTGTTTCAATATTTAAGCTAGTTCATTACAGTACATTTTCAGTACTACTTAGTCTGTGTCCTGGAAATATTCTAGCAGAATACTATAAATAAAAGCATAAACGCTGTCTGTGAGAGGTTTTTAAAAACTACACATAGGCTGAAACTTTCTACAGTTTATCAGGTTACATAGAGGAGAATGTTCTTACTGCTCTTTATGGCTTCATAATATAATTTTATAAGACAATTTTGAACTAAAACATCTTCAATAAAATATAAAATAATGACCTTATTAGAAGAAATAACAGCTACTTCTGTAATGGCTGTAACAGGTATATGGTGTCAATGTGTAATATGTTGTAATATAGATATAAAATATAGATATAAAACAAGGAGTCTCTAACTTTTTATGTTCAAACCATTTAAATGTTATTTTAATAGTATTTAACTCATGCTTACTTCTTTCATTTCTGTTTGCACAATTTATAATTAATGTTCAAAATAATAATAAAATATCTCAAGGCTAAAAGCAGTACAGATTCAGAGATAGCTTTAGGTTTACTCTATGCAACATGAGTAACCCCAAAAATGATAGAATTGCTTTGAAGATAGATTGTTTCAGAGTTATCCCTGCTTGTAACATTAACCCAATATTTGTGTTTAAACTTTAAAACTGTATCCTTAAGCAAATCTGTTGCAATTTACCAAGCATGCAGAAACGAAATGCTACATTATAAAGGAAAATGCTTAAAAAGTTTTGCCATGATGTTGTTGCACAGGCTCTGAGTACCCTGATGTAGCTGTAGGCATCCCTGTTCATTGCCAAGGAGTTGGACCAGATGGTCTTTAAGGGTCGCTTCCAGCTCAAACAATTCTATGATTTTATATCAAAGATCTAAATGCCTATACTGAGTATTTAAAAATATCTAGTATGAAGTGTTTCTTTCGAGATCAGGGAAGCAATATTGCAGAAACTGGTATAACTTACCCTTTACTTTCTCAATGCCTATAATATCCTATAGTAAATGAAGATATAGCTTATATATAGCTTCGTTCTTCATGTCATTAAAAGAATGGCTCAAATAAGTATTGCCTCCAATAGCACAGTACCATTTCAAAACACAACACTATGTCAGTTCAAAGCAAGTATAACCAAGGCAGACAGAAAATGTATTAGCATTTACATCTCTAAAAAGGCAGGTGTCTGCCAGAACTCTCTCTCCCTCATATTAAATACATGAGTACTACTCTGTCTAAACCACGTGCATCCAAATGTCCAAAGATGTTTCTAGCTCAAAGTAAGTGAAGAGGCTTATCAAACAATTCATATCCTAAGGGCTGGGGAGCTCTGCCAAAAGCTGCTTAATGAAGCATTGAATTGAGAAGCTCGGATGAATCTTCAGAGATTTACACAAGCTTTCATGAATCTCTCAGGTACTCCTTGTTTACCTTTCATGGTTTGTGTCCAGTTTTCCAAATCATGATGTTCAATTGTGATATCTAAAATCTGAAAAAAAATAAAAGCAGAGAACAAGAAGCTCCAAAAGGAACTGTGAAAATACCCAAACTGTGGTATGAATTTAGTTACAGCTGAAATAATCTGCGTATATGAATGATTTGTCTGAAAAGCAGTTTGTTTCCTGGAAACAAAAGGAAGGCATGGATGAGTAGGGTTGTGACAATGACTCACTCTACAGGCTACTGAAACAATATTTTTTGACTAATATTTCCAATTAGTTGCTCAGTTATAGTCATAACAGTTCCAAATTCTTATGCTGCTTAAAATTTATGACTTCAATAGTGTTACAATCTAAATATTAATTTCCTAACAAATTTTAGATATTCTGATAAAAAGGGCATTTTATCATAGCAGTGGTATATTAAAAAACAAAACAAAGCAAACAACAACAACAAAAAAAAAACTTTTTTTTTTTTGTAAATCTTTACAAAATAAACCAAATAGGAATATATATTTTTTCTATTCTTTTGTTGAATCTTCAATCAAATGTAGTAAAACAATGAATGGCTATTCTAAAATTATAAACAATAGCTTAAAAAAAATCACACAAAAAATTTCAGTATTACTATTCCTAATACATTTTACAGCATTTCTTTATAACTCTACAGTTTTCATCTTTATTATATTCCATTGAACTCTCTTAAAAATGGATGCTTTCATATATACATATATGCATTTCCTTGAGAATTTATATTGGAACTTCTCTGTTTTAAGAGATTTAAGATAAAACTCATGCAGTGGTCATGAAAACACGGACTCATTCACTGTCTATTCACTATAACTGACTTCCAAGAAAGAAAACAGGGTAGTACAGCAAAGGTTCATTACAAAAAAAGTTACATTACATTAATAATAAGTAGGGGGGGGGGGGGGGGTGTTTCTTTGTTCAGGTTTGGTTTTTTTATTGTGGTTTTTTGTTGTTGTTGTTGTTCTTTGTTTGTTTGCTTCTGATCTG